TTTTAGGGCTTAGTGCTAGGACTACAACTGAACGCATCGGATACAAAAAATGTGTCAAGTTTAGTAAATTAAATACAGTCCACTCAAATCGGGAAATAAAACGTTTGAATTCTACACCTATTTAATAAATAAAGGGTAGGTCTACACCTACACCTAATATATAGTGGAAGGTTAAGTCGTTTCATTTTAGGCATATTATTAGAAAAACATGTTCTGTCCCACAAATTGGAGGGAGGATCGCACTCTCCTACATACGGACGACCGATCTTCGCTTCCATCATGATCCTGAGCTCCTGCGACAAAATTAATTTGATTACTTATTAGTCGTATTTAGTTTTCCATTGTTACCTCTTATTAGAATTCCTTTAAAAATTGTTTGATTCCATATTTATTATTTCTATATCTACTATATATACTATATCTATCCTGACGATAAAACTCCAGAACGCACGAACCGATTTCCACGGCTTTGCATTCGTTGGAAAGGGCTCGGGCTCCGTGAGGTTTATAGCAATGAAAATACAGGAAAAATTTCAACAGAAAAGCGGGAAAATCTTTTTTTACATACAGCGTCATCTCTTATACATAGTATGAACTACAAACCAATACTTTAAGTATATGGCGCCGGTGTGAGATACATTATTTGACAACTACTCGCACTGAGGATCAATGCTTGACTTTTGCAAACAAGCTACTGATTGAAGTAGAAATGATTGCGCCAGATCGATAGATGTACGATGCATTCAACCAAGTATTAAATCGAGAGCTGCAATACAATGTTGATACATAGCAGGAATTCGTTCGAAATAATGTGCCGTTGCTGAATGAACAGCAAAAACAAGTATACGAAACATTAATGCAAGCGGTGGACAATAATACTGGTGGTCTATTCTTCCTGGACGCACCTGGAGGAACAGGGAAAACATTTGTCATTTCATTGATTTTAGCCACTATTCGATCAAGATGTGTCATAGCTTTGGCGTTAGCATCATCTGGAATTGCGGAGACTCTTCTAGATGGCGGTCGTACTGCACATTCTGCGTTTAAGTTGCCACTCAATTTAAGCAGAATTGATACTCCAACATGCAATATTTCCTGATCCAGTGCAATGGGAAAATTGTTGATGCAATGCAAGCTCATTGTTTGGGATGAGTGCACAATGGCACATAAGAAATCACTTGAAGCACTTAACTTCACACTGAAGGATCTTCCCCGTAGAACGCCTGCAGATGAACTGAATGCTTGCCTGAAGGCATCACCTTTATGGAATAACGTAAAAACATTATCGCTAACCACTAATATGAGAGTTCAACTTCAAAATTCAAAGTGCAGCACAATTTTCCAAACAATGTTAGCTGTTGCAAACGGAAAAGTCACAGTTGATGCGACATCTGGATTAATTACTCTTACCAACGACTTTTCGCTTTCTAACTCTTATTGAACATGTTTTCCCAAACATTAGTGAGAACTATCAGAATTTTCTTGGTTAAGATGTACAAAGAATAATGATGTACACACACTGAACTTCACAATTCAATCAAAAATTGCTGGCGATTTGGTGACATACAAATCCGTTGATTCCATAACAAATCCCGATGATGTAGTAAATTATCCAACGGAGTTTTTACCAGGATTTTCACCACATAACTTGCAACTCAAAGTTTGTACAGTTATTATGATATTGCGTAATTTGAATCCACCGCGACAACGGTACTCGATTTTTGGTAAAAAGACTTATGCCGAATTTGATTGAGGCAATCATTTTTAACTGAAAGTACGCTGGTGAAAATGTATGCATTCTCGAATAGCAATGAATCCGACTGATCTTCCGTTTGACTTCAAACGATTGCAATTTCCAATTAACAAGTCGCAACGTCAATCGCTAAGTGTTTGCGGGATAAGTTTAGAAAATCATTGTTCTTCACGTGGGCAGTTATACGTTGCGTGTTCACAAGTTGGGAAACCATCAGCTTTGTTTGTGCTAACGTCAGACCAAAAAACAAAAACTGTGGCTTACCAAAGAACACTTCAATGAAACGGATAATTTGCGGGCACGTGAAACGCTTCGAATCAGTATTTACTTTGGATGCACTTTCATTTACTTAGAGAAGTTCAACTAAATAACACTTCATTGATGTAATCGAAATGAATTCATTACTGTTGTGAAATGAAATAAAATTGTTCCTTTTCTAATATAAAACAAAAAAAATGTTCTTCATCTTTTAATCACCAAACGAAATGTTACATAAAACGAAGCCATCTGGTGGCGAAACGGAGTTCGCCGGGTTTGCTAGTTATCTTATACTGTTAAGAATAACATTTTTTGGTATTTTCAAGAATTTCGAATTAAAATTAAAAATTATAACTGCAAGGGTATACAAACATCGGCTTGCCGAAGTTAACTTTCTTTCTTGCTTTAATGTGAAAATTATATTTGAATAGAAACGTATTGGTTTTATCTCTATACCTATCGATTGACCTAAAAAAAAAGGGCACTCCCACAAGCCTCCAAAAATCGTCCGTATGTACGCAAACTAGTCTCTCAGTTTTAAAGCTATCACGAATAAATCTTCCCAAAGGTCTTATTTCTATTGCACATAGTAAATAAATAAGTTTATATACCCTTGCAGGTCGTTCAGGTGGGAGCGTTGTATGTTTATGGTTTTTCGATTTTTAGAATACTTAAAACTAATTACAGAAACATTAAGGTAATGTCCCATTTTAATGTACAACCGTATATGTTTACCGAAAATGAAATATAACGGCCTTAGTATTATTTTGACATTAAATATCGGATCGTACCTATAACAGCTATATGATACAGTCGTCGTATTTTAATAATTTTATTAAAAATTCTGAAATATTAAGAGAATAATATTGCCAAGTTTAAATATCGGATCGTACCTATAATAGCTATATGATACAGTCGTCGTATTTTAATAATTTTTTTCAAAATTCTGAAATATTAAGAGAATAATATTGCCAAGTTTAGATATTAATATCTCAAAACACATCGATGTTGTAATTTTTTTACATTTGGGATCTGGTTTGTTCCGACATATATACCACCTGCAATAGAAATAAAACTTTTGGGAAGGTTTCATCCCGAGAGCTGAGAGACTAGTTTCATAGAAACAGACAGACGGACATGGCTAGATCTAGTGATGCTGATCAAGAAACGTGTCCTTCACTGCGTTGCAAACTTCTGACTGAAATCATTATACCCTCTGCAGGACTGCAGACTCCGCATGAAACTGATTCTGTAAACGTCCAAGCCGATATTGTAAACATCAGAGCCCCAAAGCGAGGCCTGAAGTCCGCTAACGTAAACACAAGATCCTCAAAACACAAACATAATTTGCAAATTGCATCATTTACCGACTCTCTTGTGTCACTCTCTTTATCAATTTTGAAATAAATCTCTTAAGCCGACGTTTATTATTGATCATTGAACTCGAGGCAGGTCAGTCCGTTTTTAAGAATCGAATCGAATAAGTGATGCTAAAAAATAATAATAAATTTGTTTAACAAATTAACTAATGAGAAAGTTAATTCGCATACAAAGCAAAATTAGAACAATAACGTCGTCTAACGTCGCAAGCAAGGAACCCCAGTTCCAGATTGGCCACAGGTGTTTTCCACTGATGCACTACGTCGCATGTATACTGTTCATCCTAGAAGTGATGAATGTTATTATTTGCGACTGCTGCTGGTAAATATACGTGGACCAAAATTATTTGCGCATTTGAAAACTGTGAATGGCCACCAATGCCAAACATATCGAGAAGCATGTCAACTATTGGGTTTGCTGGAGAAAGATTCTCATTGGGATTTAACACGTGCGGATTCAGTTGTTTCATCAAATGCGTACCAAATACGAACGCTGTTCGCAATTATCATCACCAAATGTTTTTCTTCACAACCAATTCAGTTATGGAACAAATACAAAGACGACATATGTGAAGATATCTTGCATCGCTTGCGCATTCAAACGAATAACCGATGAAATCTACAATGAAGGATTGATTCTGATTGAGGATTAATGCTTGACTATTGCAAACAAGCTACTGATTGAAGTAGGAATGATTGCGCCAAATCGATCGATGTACGATGCATTCAACTAAGAATTAAATCGAGAACTGCAATACAATGTTGATACATTGCAGGAACTCGTTCGAAATAATGTGCCGTTGCTGAATGAACAGGAAAAACGAGGAAGAACGCTATAGTCGAGTACCTCGACTATCAGATACCCGTTACTCAGCTAAATGGAGATATGCAAGCAGCAAAGCGAGATTAAAATGCGCCACCTACCGGCGGTATACAGATTTAAGCGTTATGGGCGTTAGAGTGGGCGTGGCCAATTTTTTTTTGGATCAATCGATAGGTATCGACGAGACCAATACATTTCAGTTACAATTTTTTATCTAGCATGAAAATTGTGGGCGTCACAGGTTTTTGCGGTTTGTGGGCGTTAAAGTGGGCGTGGCAAACTTTTTTTTGAGTCAATCGATAGGTAATGACGAGACGAATACATTTCAGTTAAAATTTTTTATCTAGCATAAAAATTGTGGGCGTCACAGGTTTTCGCGGTTTGTGGGCGTTTAAGTGGGCGTGGCAAACTTTTTTTTAGGTCAATCGACAGGTATTGATGAGAACATTACATTTCAGTTAAAATTTTTATTCTAGCATCAAAACTGTAGGAGCCACAGTTTTGGGCGGTTTGTGGGCGTTAGAGTGGGCGTGGCAGTCTACTGAAACAAACTTGCGCTGCGTAAGAAGCTCAGGAATCTGCACGCCAAATCTCAATAGCCTAGCTCTCATAGTTTCCGGACAGACGGACAGACGGACAGACGGACAGACGGACATGGCTAGATCGACTCGGCTAGTGATCCTGATCAAGAATATATATACTTTATGGGGTCGGAAACGCTTCCTTCTGCCTGTTACATACTTTCCGACGAATCTAGTATACCCTTTTACTCTACGAGTAACGGGTATAACAAGTAAACGAAACATTATTGCAAGCGGTGGACAATAATACTGGTGGTCTATTCTTCCTGGACGCACCTGGAGGAACAGGGAAAACATTTATCATTTTATTGATTTTAGCCACAATTCGATCAAGATGTGTCATAGCACATCTGGATCAATTACTCTTACCAACGACTTTTCGCTTTTTAGCTCTTATTGAAAATGTTTTCCCAAACATTAGTGAGAATTATCAGAATTATGCCTGGTTAAGATGTACAAAGAACAATGATGCACACACACTGAATTTCACCATTCAATAAAAAATTGCTGGCGATTTGGTGACATACAAATTCGTTGATTCCATAACAAATCCCGACGATGTAGTAAATTATCCAACGGAGTTTTTGAACTCTCTGGAGTTACCAGGATTTCCACTTGCAACTCGAAGTTGGTACAGTTATTATGATATTGCATAATTTGAATCCACCGCGACTTTGCAACGGTACTCGGCTTTCCGTAATTCTATTGAGGCAATCAATATTAACGGAAAGTACGCAGGTGAAATTGTATATATTCCTAGAATACCAATGATTCCGACTGATCTTGGGTTTGACTTCAAACGATTGCAATTTCCAGTTCGCCTTGCGTTCGCAATGACAATTGACGTAAGTCGTAAGGCCAATCACTTAGTGTTTGCGGGATAAATTTAGAAAATCATTGTTTTTCACATGGGCAGTAATACGTTGCGTGTTCATGAGTTGGGGAATCATCCGCTTTGTTTGCGTTAACGTCAGACCAAAAAACAAAAAATGTGGTTTACCAAAGAGCACTTCAATGAATCGGATAATTTGCGGACACGTGAAACGATTCGATTCAGTATTTACTATAACAATAATTCATTTTTGTAATCGAAATGAATTCATTACTGTTGTGAAATGAAATAAAATTTTTACTTTTCAAATATAAAACAAAACCAAACGAAATGTTACATGAAACGAAGCGAAACGGAGTTCGCCGGGCTTGCTAGTTAAAATATAAAATTCACAATTAAGAGCACCCTCGTTGTTCTTGAACAGAAAAAAATCATGGTTCGAGTAATCAATTATTTCTGATCTGGCCAATATTTTTGTTAATTAATGAGGTATTAAGGAACGCATTTTCTGTTCAAAAATAATTTATGAATCCCTAATATTATCTTTGGATATAATTCTGTTTCTATAATTAATTATTGTTTTATTAGGCATAACCTCCTTAACTACTTATTTTTTAGACGTTTCTTAGATTGTTTTTCTTTTTCCATACTTCTTTCTATAAACTACTTGTCCTACATGATATTTTTTTCTTTTCGGTTTTGATTATGTGTTACTAACATTTGCTCTTGAGTTTCTTCAATATTTGAGGAATATTATAGTGCTCTTCTGTTAATGTCGTACGTCTTTTTAAGATACTGTGCCATGGGTCTGCGTAGTGTAAAGTAAGTCCGCACCTTTGTGCAAAATATTTAAATTGGGCCGAGTTAAAGCTCGTTTCATTATCAGTCATAAGTACTTTGGCTTGGGGAAATTGTTAAAGTAATTCCATTACCATGTTTTTCATGTTTAATTTATTTTGAATTTTTTTAACTACTGGGAATATTGAGCACTCTTCAATACAAGTTATAAAATGTTGCGCATAGTTTATATCAATATGTAAGTTATCTCCTTTTTTGTTGGTATTGGGGCTTGTCTAATTGAAAGTTATATTGGGTTTCTGTTGTATTTGATTTCATTGAAAGTTTAACAACCTTATATATATTCTTTTAGTTTTGTATATAAATTGGGCCAATACTATAATGTACTGATTCGTTTATAATTTTCGTCTAGTCCACTCGATTGTGTGCTTCTTCTACTATTAAAGCCCTCTCTTTAGCGGTTTCTACTTTCTGAAGAAATATTAGCGTAAAAACATACTTGTTAGTAACATTTTTTTTAAAGATACTTGAATAATATATAGTTCTTCTAAACAACAATGAGTTTCAGCCGTTATGTTAAGTGGACGATACTCTCTTAATATAGTTAGTAAGCTTTCAACTGTATCATATTCGATTATGCGTCTTCTTTTGTCAAAGACTTCCAGTGACTCATACATTGTATATCTTTCCGTTGTTAATAACAACTGTTGTTTACTCAGCTAAAGGGACCAAAGGGAAATGGAGATATGCAAGCAGCAAAGCGAGATTGAAATGCGCCACCTACCCGTGATCTCTTTATATTGTTATGTGGGCGGAAGACAGATTTAAGCGTTATGGGCGTTAGAGTAAGCGTGGCAAACGTTTTTTTTGGGTCAATCGATAGGTATTGACGAGACTAAGACATATCAGCTAAAATGTTTTTCTCGCATGAAAATTTTGTGGGCGTTACAATGGGCGTGGCATATTCGCGAAACAAACTTGCGCTGCGTACAAGGCTACGGAATATAAATCTGAAATCCCAATGCTCTATCTTTGACAACTTCCGAGATATCCCCGTAAAAATCCATTAAATTAATTAAAATTAGTATTCTAGCATCGTTAAAGTGGGCGTGGCACCCTGCTGAAACAAACTTGAGCTGCCCAAGAAGCTCAGGAATCTGCATGCCAAATCCCAATAGCCTAGCTATAGTTTCGTTGATCTCAGCGTTCTTACGGACAGACGGACGTGGCTAGATCGACACGACTAGTGATCCTGATCAAGAATATATATACTTTATGGGGTCGAAAACGCTTGCTTCTGCCTGTTACATACTTTCCGATCTTTTTCGAATACAATTCCAATTTTCTTTAGAATAAAATTATTATTATAATCAAAGAAACCTTGAACATCAATCGAAACAGTATCTTTCAACATTTTTCTAATGTTAGACAACTCGCTGTACTAGTCCGTTTAATGGGTTATATTCAACTAAACGGTCACGTATAAGGAGACAATAAGCTTAGGTATTTCCATGACTTGGTGTCTTTAGTTCTATTGAAATTCTCGCATCAACAAGACCAGTTTTCACTGTTTCGTTTTCATATGAAAGATCAACCACCTCAATCAATTCGATCTTTGCTTTTTGTCTCATTAACTCAATTGAAAGGTTCACTTTAATCAATTCATTGTTTGGCAATGTGAAATTAAATTCTATACTTGTTGCATTTGTTTTAATGTTATTATTATCAAAATTCAACACAGAAGCAAAGAAGTACGAGTATGATTACATTTTGCAAAATTTATATTAAATAGCAAAAGAAATGCAAAGGTTATTATTTGCCACATATTATTTCTTTCTTTCTACGACGACGACGACCAGAGAGAGATAAAATAATGCCTTTTCTTTTACATTATTTTTCTGACCTTGTTTGTCAGCGGTGTATATTCCAATAATTTATCATGAATTATTAAGCAGTATGCTGACGTTTTTGCGGGTATGTTAGTTAATGTTTTAAGTCACATCTAAGACAATAATGGAACCCTTATTTTTGTTATCCTCTAGTGACATTAACGGTTGTGGTTCACGTCCATAATAGCTTTTTTGAAAATTCGTATACATTTCTTATAATAGAGCATATCAGTTTAAGTCAAAATTTTGATTCAATCCATCATATGGATATACTTCAAAATTTAGATATACTTTTACATCGGTTAAATCTTAATAAATATACTTATCGTTTTTTTAAGTCCAACAATAATATAGCGCGGATGTTCAGTTTTAACTGCCAATTTCACATTCCATATAAACGAAGTACTGGGCGGAACTACTGGATTATAATAGATATCCCAACTCCTGAATGGTAACAATAACGGTGTTTATTTGTTTATTACCTTAAACATAAACAATTTATAGCCATGTTGTTAACATGTTGTTAACAAAAGTTAAAGTAACCTTTTTCAATTTTCAAATTATCATCGATTGATCATCCAGAATTTTGTAATACAAGTTGTTGATTTTGATTGACTGATAAGTTATTTTTAAAATCAGTTGTTACACCCAAATGTCGTGCTCGAACAATTTCAATGAAGCTATAGTGCTTACGAGTGAATCCTTAAGGTCTTAATATGTCCTTGAATGTGTAGAAAACTCTTCCTTGGTAGAACATAGAAATTTTGATTTTGTATTGCAATCCGAATTTCATCATTTTTCTCATACGGTCCTAAATAAGATTAATAACTATGATAGTCTTTTTATACTTGTTACTCGTAGATTAAAAGGGTGTACTAGATTCGTCGGAAAGCATGTAATAGGCAGAAGGAAGCGTTTCCGACCCCATAAGGTATATATATTCTTGATCAGGATCACTATCCGAGTCGATCTAGCCATGTCCGTCTGTTCGTCTGTCCGTCCGTCCGTCTGTCCGTCTGTCCGTATGAACGCTGAGATCTCGTAAACTATACAAGCTACAATACTGGGATTAGGCATGCAGATTCCTGACCGCCCAAAACTGTGGCTCCTACAGTTTTGATGTTAGATAAAAAATTTTAACTGAAATGTATTGTTCTCGTCAATACCTATCGATTGACCTAAAAAAAGTTTGCCACGACCACTCTAACGCCTACAAACCGCCCAAACCTGTGGCGCCCACAATTTTTATGGTAGATAAAAAATTTTAACTGAAATGTATTGGTCTCGTCAACACCTATCGATTGATCAAAAAAAAATCTGTCTACCGCCGGTAGGTGGCGCATTTCAATCTCGCATTGCTGCTTGAATATCTCCATTTCACTTTGGTTCCTTTAGCTGAGTAACGGGTATCTGATAGTGGAGGTACTCGACTATAGCGTTCTTCCTTGTTATTACTGGGATAGAAGATGAAGTGCAAATTAAATGACAAAGGTTGTTATAATTCTTACAAAGAACGTGAAAGCGCTCGTGCAGACAAAAATTTGATGTACATTGTGGCAAATTTACAGGATAATAATTTCGTGTTAGTCTAATAGGAAGATTTTGCATAAAAATGGTACCAAGCATTGTTCTACAATTTACAAGTGTAAGGGTCATCAAATTCTGTTGACCAACGCTTTATAAACCTTAAAGGTGACAATGTCGGAAAAAAATTGTATGAAAAAAGGAAAAAATATGTCTCAAATTCATGTTTCTAAACATTATTAAATAATAATATAATTATAATTATTACAAAGAACGTGAAAGCGCTCGTGCAGACAAAAATTTGATGTACATTGTGGCAAATTTACAGGATAATAATTTCGTGTTAGTCTAACAGGAAGATTTTGCATAAAAATGGTACCAAGCATTGTTCTACAATTTACAAGTGTAAGGGTCATCAAATTCTGTTGACCAACGCTTTATAAACCTTGAAGGTGACAATGTCGGAAAAAAATTGTATGAAAAAAAGAAAAATGTCTCAAATTCATGTTTCTAAACATTATTAAAAAACAAGGAAGAACGCTATAGTCGAGTACCTCGACTATCAGTTACCCGTTACTCAGCTAAATGGAGATATGCAAGCAGCAAAGCGAGATTAAAATGCGCCACCTACCGGCGGTAGACAGATTTAAGCGTAATGGGCGTTAGAGTGGGCGTGGCAAATTTATTTTTGGATAAATCGATAGGTATTGACGACACCAATACATTTCAGTTAAAATTTTTTATGTAGCATGCAAATTGTGGGCGTCACAGGTTTTCGCGGTTTGTGGGCGTTTAAGTGGGCGTGGCAAACTTTTTTTTAGGTCAATCGATAGGTATTGATGAGAACAATACATTTCAGTTAAAATTTTTTATCTAGCATCAAAACTGTTGGAGTTACAGTTTTGGGCGGTTTGTGGGCGTTAGAGTGGGCGTGGCGGTCTACTGAAACAAACTTGCGCTGCGTAAGTAGCTCAGGAATCTGTACGCCAAATCTCAATAGCCTAGCTCTCATAGTTTCCGAGATCTCAGCGTTCATCCGGACAGACAGACGGACAGACGGACAGACGGACAGACGGACATGGCTAGATCGACT